TTTGTTTTTTAATTGTTTTCACCTACTTGTCCTGAATGTTTTTTTTTCCCCCATTTATTTTTATTAGTTGGAGGCTAATTACTTTACAATATTGTAGGTTACCACTCTTAAATCAGGAGTTAATAGTCTGGATAATTGGGCTCAATAGACAGGTTTCATCCAAAACCACCCTGAGGTCAATAACGATTTTAAAAGCTCTGTGATCCATTAAAACATTTTTTTAAAAGGTCATTTTTGTTTCATCATGTGAATTAAAGAATCTCTTTGGGTTTTTTCTGAGACCATGATTTAATGACCTTTGGAATCCCTTTTTGTCTGTATCCACGTTTAAACAGATTCTACCAGTAATGGAGCAGTGACTTTGTATTAAAAATAATTTTAAAAACTACATTAATAACTAGAGAGTAAAAACTGCTTTACATAAAAGAAAACCATGGTTCTCACAAGCTACACATTGCATAACCTAGGTATCAAGATACAGTATGAGTACATTTCCATATTTTGAATTTTAAAACTTATTCAAATCTCTCATATTTTGGTTCATTTTTAATGTTTCTTCTTTAGTGTTCTGCAATTTCAATATGATGCATTTAAATGAGTTTATGTTTCTGCATCACACTAATATTCTTGTACTTCATAAACATGAGGATTAATCACTTCTGAAAAATTATCACCCATTATCTATTCAAATATTGCCTTGCCCTCATTCTCTTTATTTTCTCCTTCTAGAATTCTTGCCTTAATGTTTATATTTTCCACTTATTTATATCTCTGTATTCTAGGTATTACTATCAATTATACCATGACTAGTCTGCACTTTTAACTCTTCCATTGTTTTTATTTCAAAACTGTATTTTTCATTTACAGGTTTTCTATGTGTGTGTGTGTGTGTGTGTGTGTGTGTTTCAGTAACATATTCTTTGTTAGGGCTTAATGTCTTCTTTTATACTATCAAGGTCCTCTGTCCATGGAATTCTCCAGGCAAGAATACTGGAGTGGGGAGCCATTCCCTTCTGAGGGGATCTTCCCAACCCAGGGATCAAACTTGCCCAAACCACCAGGGAAGCCCTCAAAACTGTAGACATTTATATATTCTCTTTTATGCTGCAATATGATCTCAAGTTTTTAAGGATCTAATACTGATGTTAGGTCTCATGTTAACTCTCTCTCATGGATTGTACTGTCTGCTAACATTTGTTCAGTGGATCGTTTCCTAGTGTGTTTCATCATGTATTACAGAGGTCATATCTTTAGCAGGGCTTGCTGTTTTCCTGAAAATCCTTAGCAATCTAGATGGTTACTACTGTACTTTCAGAATGGTTTTCTGTTTTACTCTTCTAGGAGCCTCGGGGGTATTTTTCAATTTAAAGATTTCTAGGTCAGTTAGGTGGTATAAAAAGCAAAAGCAAAACAAAAAGTCACATGATTTGCAGGCTTGAAGAATGAAATTCTTAGGGGAAGATTTCTTTTCCTCTTACTGATAAAATTTTTTCTTCTCACTCTGTGCTGACAGCAAATTGTTCTAGCCTAACTTTTCACTAATATAGGGTCCTGGTTTTAAGCAGGGGCTAAGGATGTCTCAATCCCAACTCTCTGCCTCATATGGGGCCAAGGCCTTAGCTTTTCTCTACCTCAAATGGATATTAGACTCCAACTTTCTAGTCACCCAAACCTCTAACCCCTGGGGCAACCACAGCATCAGTTCCCTGTGGTATCCTCTGGCTTTTAACGTCCTTGCTTTTGGCAAATAGTAATCACTTTTACTTATTTATTTATTTATTTTTGCAAAATTGGGCACCATGTTAAAATCCTTTTAATCATTTTATCCATTACTGCTAGGTGTTTGTAACCAAGAGTCTGTTTCAGAATACCTCAGTATACTGTTTTGCCGGAGCTTTAGTTACAGTTTGTAATCAGTCAGTCATTTCCAAGCAGGAATTTTAGCCGGACTGTTTCAGATCTTGAGAATTTAGAAACACTTAACATGCTTTATGTCTAGAATTCTTCTCCATGTTCAGAAGTGATGGACTAAAGACATAGTTACATTCTAAATGAAGGAATTCTGTGACATAATTTCTGGGATCCTCCCAGGACATGGACATTTCTTGCTAATCATCATTACAAACTGATTAAAATAGACTGCATTCATTTATTTTCAATTAGAAGTTGAAACAAAAGGAAGAAGTTGAGTCTTTTTCTTCTAAATACTAACTTCAAAATGTTACTTCTTGGACTTAAAGCCTGAGAATATGTAATTACTCTCAAACAAGATAGTTAGACACAAATTTCAGTAGTAAAAGCCTCATAAATAATATGTAAGAAAATCTTTATACAAAAGTGAACTATGAAAAAGAATATTTTAGCAAGAGTCCATAGAACTTATCACAGAAATGACAATTTGCAAAAATCTGTTCTTACAAGGGAAAAACCTGAATAATTTGAGATAATGGAAGAATCAAACCTAAAGTGTACTTGTTATTTCAACTTTCAAAAATAGTATGCATCCTACTCTAGGAAAATATATGAAATTGTTTAAATTATAAGTCAAAAGCATAGAGAAGGGCTTATTTGTACCCTCTACCAGAAGAAAATAGTTTTCCTTAATTCTTTCTCATAAATCACAGGTGTGAAGTGCTGATGTTTATTGGTGAAGATTTTTCAGTAACTTGATTATTCAAGAGGAAAAAAATAAAAACCTTGTAAGAGTAAACAGTGATGAAAAGTTACCATAGAACCTTTCGGGAATAACAGATTTGGACAAGCCTAAAGTCTTACTCAGAAACATGGCTCACTCTTAATTTTACTATCATATGTTTGACCTGACAGGAGGTGCTCATTATGAACTGAAGCACATTAAAATATTTCTGTTGATCTCTCTGTTGCCAATGCATTAAGAATGATCTGGGATTCCTTATTGCAGAAAAATATTTCTTCTCTAAATAGTAGATGATATAAAAACTAGATAAATCAACAAGGAAGTAAACCACATTTGAAGAAAGCATTAGGGTTATTTTTCAGGACAACTTGGAATTAGTATTTTATTTAGTCTCTCTCACTACTAATATATATCCACAAGTTTTAAAAATCAATTTTCCCCACAAAGTAACAAGTGACTACAGAATGATAAAATGATAAAAAAAAATAGATTTTTGTCTATGGAACAGCACAACTTTTAAAAAGCAATATAGCTTTTATAAGTTACTTAATTTACTCACAGGTAACATTACCAAACATAACCCTCAGACTTAAGGGTAAGCTCAAGTCTAAGTCCATGAAAAAAATCCATGTGTTTTAAACATACCCTCAAAGCAAACTTGGAAGTAGCTACATTCAGAGTATGCAGAATTGATTTATTTTCTGTCTTTTCTTGGGATATATCTCCTTGCTACTCAAAGTGTGCTCCACCGACCAGCAGTTTCCACATCTTCTCAGAGACTGTTGGAAATGCAGAAATTTTGGCTGCACCTAGATCCTACTGAATCAGAATCTGCATTTTAACAAGGTCCATAGGTAATTCATGTGTCCATTAAAGTTTGACAATTTCTGTAGTAACAGACATAGTAATACTTTCTAATTTAACGTCAAGTTAAAGTATAAGATTTCTTTAAGGGAGGATGTCCTGGAATTAGACAGTGGTGATGTTTTCCCCAACTCTGTGCACATACTAAACAGCACTGAACTATGCAACTTAAATGGGTAAATTTTATGAAATGTGAAATCTATTTTATTTTTTAAAAAAGAAAAAAAAGGAATAGTAAATGTTTTCAAACCGTACAGCACACAGATGAAGGGAAGGAGTTACAATTGTTTTTTTCTTTTACCTAGGGGGAAAATGACATGCAGCATCTTCTGGGGGTCACTTCCTCCTGGGAAAAGGATCCACACTAGACCTTGATGCTGGGCAGCCCTGAGCAGTGATCTGAAGGTGTCCCCATCCATCCTGCCCCCCACCCATTCCGCCCCCAGACACACACAAACACACACACACACACACACACACACTAGAGCTGCTTACAAAACTGCTGCTGAGAACTGCTTTCACACACACACACACACACACACACACACACACACACACACACACTAGAGCTGCTTACAAAACTGCTGCTGAGAACTGCTTTCACACACACACACACACACACACACACACACACACTAGAGCTGCTTACAAAACTGCTGCTGAGAACTGCTTTCACACACACACACACACACACACACACACACTAAAGCTGCTTACAAAACTCCTGCTGAGAACTGCTTTCCGTGGGAAACCCCATGCAGATGATGTGACGTGTCAAAAAACCAGACCACACAGTCAACTAAAGGGGCAGGGAGACAGCCTCTCTGCCGGCCGCACTCTGGGCCCAAGCCTCCAGGAGGAGGGAGACTTCGCCCCTATTTTGCCCTCGGCTCGCCCCTGCCACCCATCTTCTAAACCGCACCCCCCCCCTCCAAAAAAAAAAGAACCCTCCAGACTTTTGAATGAGGTCTCGTAGTTACTCGGAGTCCACCCCCAACCGCCCTCTGGGGCTTCTCCCACGCCGAGTCTCCCGGGCGCGCACCTGTAACAGGTCCCTCCCGGGAGCCCTCGGTGAGAGGCGCGCGCGGCGGGGAGGTGAGCCTGGAGGCTGCGTTTCTCCGCCGCCTGCTAACTCGGCGGCCGGCCGGGGCCCGCGGGCGCCTCCTGAAGGGCGCTGGCGGGGCGCGCGGATTCCCGAGTCCCCCGCGGGCAGGAGCGCCGAGCTGCGCCCGCGACCCTGAGAGTTCTCATCGACCCCCAGCGGCGGGCCACAGGGGACGCAGCTGTGAATCAGCCCCGGCCCCGACCGTGACGAGGGAGCTCCTCGAGGGAGCGGGGGAAACGGAGCGGACCGGCTGTGGCGGCGTCGGGACCCCGCGCCCCGCGCTCCCGGGCACGGCCGCCCGCGCGCGCTCGCCGGTGCGCACTTGGCCCCCTCGGGCCCGGGAGGGACCCGCCCGCCCGCGGCGCCCGCACTCACAGGCAGGGGTAGTAGCCGTAGGCAGGCAGCGGGGGCTGCACGTCGTCTCCCAGCTCCGAGTCCATGAGCAGGTAGTCTTGGCTCTCGTTGCGCCGCGCGCCAGCCCGGGCCGCCACGGCGGGAGAGCCGCCCCTCCGGGGCCCGAACGCGGCCGGGCTTTGGTTCATGGCGGGGACGCCCGACTGACTGACTGGCTGGGGTCCCGCTCGTGGCGGAGCCGCCTCGGCAATTCCCGCGGGGACCGGGTGCGCAGGGGCCCGCGGCGGCCCGGCGCCCCCCGGGCGAGGCTGAGGCTTGGCGCGCAGACGCCCCGCGGGCTGAGCTACACTCGCGGCTGCCCCACGGGCCCGGGGAGCAGTCGCCACGTAGCGGGGCACCAAGCAGACGGGCCAGGTCCCCTCGATGAGGTGTCTGGGGCTCCCGGGCCGAGCGAGCCCAGGCGGGGCGGCGGGCGGCTGCGGAGCCTGAGAGCGGAAAGCCCGGGAGACCGCGCTGGAGTTACTATGTCAACCGAGACTCTCCAGCCCTCGGCTCCCGCCTTCTTCCCCCGCGCCCTCCGTCATGATCCCACCTTTAAAGGGATCGGAACGACGTTCCAGAAAGCAGCTGAAGCCTGTCGCGGAGCCACAACTTTCAGAACCGAGAGGAACCTCAAGTAGGTGGAGCCACACACACACTTTTTTTTCCCCTTGGCCCTGAGTCTGCTTATTTAGAAACCATCAAAATGAAGAACTTTCTAGGAAGCTTCTCTTAAGTAAGACTCAAGAGAACCAAGAACTCAACTGTTTTAAAGACAGGAGCCTCTCCTTGCTCCATACTGCCTGCATTTTCTTAGGACCTTCTCTCTCCCGCTCCCTACCCCCCGAAGTGATAACTCTTCACTTTACAATGAACAACATTCTGTGTTCCCTGTGCCAGATGGTCCCAGTTCCTGAGCAAATCAACCAAAATAGGCCAGCATTTTCCGAAACACCAATAAAGGCCAACAACCTGCTTACTTCAGAGAAAAACTTTTCTTCCATCATTGCAAATGCCAGAATTACTTCTCTGCCAGATGTTTTCCACATTTCAGAACTGTTTTTAATCTTAAAACTTCGTTTTAAATTATGACTTAATCTCCATACACGTGTGAAGTAAAAAACTACTCAACAAGAATGAATCACTAACTGTAGTAGTTCAAGCAATTGTTAATTAAGAATCCATTCATTCATTCAACAAATATTTCATTGATCCCAGTTGTGTTCCAAGCACCATTTTAGGATTCAGAGGCAAACTAGCCAGATAAGGCCCACATCAGCCCTTGTGGAGATATAATGGAAGAGAAGGAGACAGAGATTAAACAAGCAAATGAAAAAGTTTCAGAGACAAAGGTAACAATAAAAATAAGACAGGTTTATGTTATAATAACTGGAGACTGTCTACTTAATATTATTGGTGGTTTAAAGAGGCCTTTTCAAGCAGGTGCTAGTTAAGTGGAGATGGACAGGGCAAGGAGCCAGATATGAAAAGATCAGAAATGGGTTACAAAAGGATTGAAGACTGTTGTAAAGGTACTTTTGCATCCCATAAGTAAGTGGACAATAAAATGGATGTTGGAAGTGTGAAAGCAATGAACTTAATAGAGGAGAAAGGAGGTCACAGATTTAAAGTTTTTACTTGGCCAGTATGCTAATGAAGACTCAGAGAAGACAGGAACCACTTGTATTCTGAGAATCTGGTTCTGTATTTGTCACTGGCATGTGAAATGAATAAATGGATAGATGGATGGATGGATGAAGTACAGAAAAAATAAGAAAAGAGTCTTGACCACTGAAACAACACTTACCCTGAAAAACTAATTGCCATCATTTTGAAGTACATTATTCCTGATTTAAGAATCTCCTCTTTGGATTTCTTATCCTGTGGAGCCATGGCTTAAACTTCTTACTATTGTCTGGTAATTATGCATAGTGATAACATTCACTGCTTGAAATTTGTTTGTGGTGATTACCATCTGTAAGAACACTAGTTTTCATTCTTGAATGAATTAGTTAATAAATGTTTAATTAAATAGTGCCAAGATAATCTGTTTGGGAACATCAAGTATAGTAAACAATTTAAGGACTTCCCTTATGGCTGGATGGCATCACTGATTCAATGAACGTAACTCCGGGAGTTGGTGATGGACAGGGAGGCCTGGTATGCTGCAGTCCATGGGGTCTCAAAGAGTCGGACACGGCTAAGCGACTGAGCTGAGCTGGTGGTTCAGTGGTTAAGAAACAGCCTTTCAGTGCAGGAAATGTAGGTTCCTTTCAATTCAGGAAATGTGGGTTTGACCCCTGGTCAGGGAACTAGGATCCCATATGCCACAGTGCAACTAAGCAAGTAGAGACCCCAACCACACAACTACTAAGACCGCATGCTCTAGAGCCGGTGTTCTGTGCAACAAGAGAAGCTCAGACGCCCCAACTAGACAGAAACCCCTAGTGCAGCAAATGAAGACACAACACAGCAAAAAAAAAAAAAAAATAGTGGGGAAAGTAAACAAATGATTTTAAACGAACTCAAATTCTGTGAGCTAAAGAAAAGTTAGAAACTACTGGTGGTGTTAGTTTAAGTGTTAGTTTAACTTAGAAAACAAAAATTGAGACAGAATTAACGGTGTTGTCATAGTTAGTTGAGCTGTTTGTGCCTTTTCTTATAACACTGTTTTTCATTCTCAGGTAGCAACCTTCACACTGAAAAAATTATTACAGTAAACTTATAATGTGACATAAATTTATCATTTTGCAGGATAAGACATGCTTTTCTCTGTTATTTGAAATGTAGTTAGTACTGGACCAAAAAAATTCCAGGGCTGTTTTCACATGTGGGAGAAGGTGGTGGACAAAGGATTAGAGGATTCTGAAAGAGTTTAATAATCTGATGAAGTGGAAAGAGCATTTGACTGGAAGCTTGAAAGCCTTGTTCTAACCATTCCACTAACTGAAACTGTATAATTTCAAAAAGGATATCTAATTTCTCTCTGCCTCTTTCAGTAATCAGTAAGCAGAGATATAATTTCTAAGCACTCCTCAATCTCTAACTTTCTTCATTTTATCCTAAATATGCAGTTTTCTCTTCAATTACATTAAAAAGAAGACAACCTCCCAACCAATTAATGTATTTTTTTAATCAAGTGGGGGCATTGTTTAGTAGTAGATCTGAAGTAATGAAGAAAATTGGGGAATTTAAATTTAAATTTTAAAAAAAAGTAAAAAATGGTTGGTTGAGAGAAGAAAGTATAGTTTTCACAGAGCTTAAAACATTGCTATGCAAGTTTATGTTGTATGTATGTCATATGTTTATGGTATTAATAAAAAAGAACACCAAGTGGTAGGTCTGAGATGTGGAGATGAAGGCAGGCTGTGTGTCTCAATGGGCAAAGGGTAAGATGCCATTAAGAGAGGACTTTCACCTCATTATACATACATGCAGTTTGTTTGATTGATTGATTTTAATACAACACAGTATTTTGAAAAGTCAAGAAGAAGAATTGCCCTCTAGAAGGTCTCAAACCAAGAGCCCAAAGGGAAAGAAAATGATATTGCTAGTGGCATCAGGGACAAAAGGTTGAGAAAACCTTAGTAGATGCCTAATGACTCAAAAAGAAGGCATTGCATGGAAGACTTTAGGCAGTTGCTATTTATCAGATGCTACTGTTGATAGGAAGCCACTGGCACAAGAGCTTTTCTGGGAAATGCTTTGGGGTTAGTTGACCAACAGTTACAAATAATACTTTAGTCAGAAATTCATGTAGATAATTCAAAGCATGGAGACCCAGAGCCCTGACTTCTCATGCACATAGAGTCTACAGGGGAGAATCTACAGGGGAACAAACAAACAAAGCAACAATAACACCCTGGAAGCTTCAGAAGGCCTGATCTATGAAGAAAGGTCCTCTGTAAATTCTAGTTTGAGTGAAATAGTTGCAGGTGATACCAGATCTTTGAACCTCAGTTGCTTAATTTTTAAAGTAAAAAGGCTGTAACAGTTATATTTAAATCTCTACTGCAGATATTAAAACTATATTATATTAAGTATTAGAAGCAGTAGAGTTAAAATGGTGGCTCAGTGGTAAAGGATCTGCCTGCCAATGCAGGAGATGCAGGTTTGATCCCTGGGTCTAGAAGATCCCCTAGAGGAGGAAATGGCAACCCACTCCAGTATTCTTGCCTGGGAAATCCCATGCACAGAGGAGCCTGGCAGGTTACAGTCCATGGGGTCACAACTGAGTCGGACACAAATTAGGGACTAAACAGCTACAACAAAAAGTTAAAGCAGCGACCTATTTTAATATTTTCTTTGATTTGAGCTTAACATAGCTATCTAAAATTCTCACATTATCATATGGGTATTTTGTAAGCACTTGTGATTACCATGGTTTCACTTAGAACAAGTCATGTTTGACTAAATTAATCTCTCTTTTAATAAATTATTAAAATAGTTTCAGTAAACTACTGGCCAAGGGCATTATATGACATTTATCAGTAAGATTGAAAATGTGGACTGAGGAGCAGATGTATGATTTAGAAGTAGTCAGAAGGCTGTTGAGAAGATGGCTGCTCTATGGATCAATGTCACTCTGGCTCAGTAAATGGAGACATGTCAAGAATGGATGGAGTTACTTGGTAACTAGTTAGTTTCCCATCACTGGACACATTAAAATGCAGTCTAGACCTCAAGTTTTGCTATAAAATGAGCCAATGTATTTGTGGAAAATTAAATGAATTCTAAGATCCTTTAAGAAAAGTCTGAAATTCAAAACTGATTGTCATCTCAGTTTATTTCAGTTCAGTCACTCAGTCGTGTCCAACTCTTTGCGACCCCATAGACAGCAGGCCACCAGGCTCCCCCGTGGCTGGGATTCTCTAGGCAAGAACACTGGAGTGGGTTGCCATTTCCTTCTCCAATGCATGAAAGTGAAAAGTGAAGTCGCTCAGTCGTGTCCGACCCTTAGCGATCCCATGGACTGCAGCCTACCAGGCTCTTCCTTCCATGGGAGTTTCCAGGCGAGAGTACTGGAGTGGGTTACCCCTCAGTGGATCCAAAATGCACAACTGATAAAATTCCATCTTTTTTTGACTTACTATTTTTTTTCATAAAGACTTAGTAAACAGGTACATTCTTTGACAAGGTGAAGATCTAC